GCGTAGGCTTATGCGTGCGTGTGAATGCATGTGTATGTATGTGTGCATAAAAGAAGTGCAGAATGATTAGAATATCAGCTTAGAGGGTTCAGGGTATCTCCTAGTCGAGCAGTCTCGACTGGAGCCTTCTTACTTGTTTTCTTATTGTATCCAATAATCGATCATGGAATTTCGTTTTATTTTAACTCGCTAAAAAACTGTAAATTTCCTATGGACTGTTTTTTTTTTTTTAAATACACAGATTTTTTATATTAGGGAGCTAGCTCCCCTCCCCCTTCTCACACATATACAAATAATACGAAAGGCAAATACTAGAGACGTTTGCTTTGGCACATGAACACATCTGGTTGCTATTATCACGCTCTGAAAATTTGCTTAAGAAAGTCCAACTAGATGAAAAGTTATTCAACAATTAAGTTCGCATGGCAAAGCCGTCGCGACGGCGCAGCTCCAGCGCAATCGCTGCGTTAACTGCGCAGTTAGCGGCGCGCGTGCCCAAGCTTGTGTGTGTGTATATGCATGTGTGTGTGTGCGCGTTGTTTGCTGTTTTGTTTGTTATGTGTGCTCTGAAAGAAGTGTGGAGTGACTGGCATAGCAGCTCTGCGCAGTGTGCAGGGTATCAGCTAGTCAGGCACTGCCGCTTGGAGCAACGCTTGCTTGTTTGTATACCCTAAATCAAGTGAAAATGGGAAATCAGGGTGTAATGCTTTTGTTGAAGTGTAGGAGGTGTGGCAGACCCCATAGAGTATATATACAGTAGAATCCGGTTATAACGAAGCTCAAGGCTCCGTCGTTATACCCGAAAGACCGTATAAGTTTGCTCATATAAGTAAGTATATTTGTCTTGGGATCCAAATTTCCGATTATAGCGACTCTGCTTATAGCGTCTGTACGGTAATCAGCGACGAAAACTCTGGTCCCCAGACAAACTTTTATGAACAAACTCATACGGTTATAGCGCCTCCGGGTATAACGACGGTTCCTTGAGTGTCGTTATAACCGGATTCTGCTGTATATATTTCTGATCCTTATCTAGTCAGGTCTATCTGCTGGATGTCCGTCTGTCCGTCCGTATGTGTAAGCGCGTCGATCTTACGACCTATAAGTGCTAGAGCCATCAAATTATTTTAGGTTCCTGTATAGAAAGCGCACATCGAGTTTGATCGTTAAGTAAATCCGTTTGAATGTTATCGATTAACTAATTTAGAGTCAGCTATAAAATTGTACCTCCTATACTTTTGCGGTTAAAACCTCCAAATGTTGTATTGAGATTCATGTATATTTTTTTATATTATATTGTATATTGATTTATATTATATATTGGATAACCAATAAAAATTCTGTCGAATTCTTATTTGAAGATCAGTTGCAAATATTGTCAAATATTTAATGGAAAATGCTGAAGTTTTTATTAGTCTAGAGTTTTCTTGCTCACTGCTGTGGCGGCTCCACTGTAGTTCTAGACCTAATATGCCTGTCTCTGGGAGTGCTGCGACTGCTAATTGTTTTCATTCTTTTTTTGCGATAGATTGCAAACGCTTTAGCACTTCCTGGTTACTTAGTTGAGCAAATAGTAGTCGATGGCACGCACCCGCACCCACACCCGCACCCCTACCAGCACCCGCTCAGCTGAGCACACAGTCGCATGTAAAGCAGAGTTAGACAGACAGACGGGCAGACAGCTGGTATTGCTGACAGTAACAAACAGTTGGTTGGTTATTTGTTTGTCGCTTTATTGTGATCATCATTATTATTATTGTTATTGTTATTATTATTATTATTATTACTATAATGACGATTTTCATTATCAGCGAGCGATGGCTGGCTTTGGCATGCTTTCATCTTGCATTGACCTCAAAAAGCCGTGTCGTGTCGTGTGGCCCAGATACAACACATACATACATAGGTGGCATGGACGCACTGCGGATGATGGCTATGAAGGTGACACGAGCATCGTCATGTAACAGCTGTTAATCAAAAATAATTGAAATAGATTATTGCTACTATTATTATGCTTACGTTGGCTGTGACTGTGAGAACTACTCTCGATTCTCTATGATCATCATCTTCGCTGCGACGCCGGCCAGCCCTATAAATATAATAGTTCGTTCGTTCGGGCTCAAAGGTCACCAGCGGCTACCTCAAATCAATTGTATTCAATTCATGTCCAGCTCAAGTGCCAAAGGCAAAAGAAAGGAAAGAAAAGAAAAGTAAAGAAAAGTATCGCAAAACTTAATTTAGACTGTAAACAAATTGTAGTTTAATAGAGATTATGCAAAACCATTCCAAGTCAGCTAGAGAATTTCCTTTTATGCCAGAGCGCAGCTCTAGATACGAGGGCTCTTTAAAAAGGTATGCAAAGTTGCGAAAAAATATTTGTTGTATTTTTTTTCATTATTATATTATCGAATGTTTTATTTTAAATTTTTGATTTATGCACGAGGATAAGTATTACCAACCTGATATAGACTGGTATCAAAAGTTGTACCCATGCTCGATCACAGCGATCTGTGATGAACTCAAACACCAGTTCAAGCTGATTAATCAAATCGCTCCATCATCGAGCTACGCCTCCTCTTTCCAGTGTTCATCTAATGGAAACAGTTCTCTTAAAGCATCCCTATTTAAGCTTTCATGTGGACAACTGCGAGTCAGCATTGAGGAATCTACGAGCCTCCCTAGGGTCGCAGCCATCTATTATAGAATTGTGCATTAAGCTTGTATTATACACCGTGGGAAACCACAGCAATAGACATAGTTCTTGTATATTAATATTAACCTTAAAGAGGTTGATTTTTGGTTAATATATATCTCGCTCGTCATATCGATTTCTGCTTCCATTTCGATTCCGATCTCAACCTTAATATCGATTTTTATACATATTTCGATATCCATTCTGTATTCGATTTCGATCTCAATTTAAATATCCATGTCGATTTCTGCCTAGAATTCGTTCCCCATCTGAAATTAGGTATTTATCTCTATTACGATATCCATCCCCATGCGATCTCCATAACGATTTCGATATCCATTTCGATCTGTTCTATATCCACCTCGATCTCGATTTCGATTTCGATTTCGATCTTTACTAAATTTAACCCCAAATCCAACCCCTTAAATAAAAAATGGTTTGCTTTTTTTTCTGTAAATGTTAAATCGTTTGAAAACAACTTAATGTTTCATTTATTTTCTGCATCGTTTTCATTTCATTTTTTTTTTTTTTTTTTTTTTTTTTTTTTATTATTTTTTTGAATTTCTGTTTGTTTTGATTACTCTTTTTTGTGTATGTCAATCAAGAATTGCATTTTCGCATTTCACATTTTGATTTTCAATATAAAAATACATTCGCTTCCGCCACACATCTCTCTCGGTTGGCTGCTGCTGCTAGGAACATCAATTCTACATTTAAATATGTGTGTAATTGTTGTTGTTGTTGGAGAATCTTGCTTGAAACATAATGTATTTATGTATACATATATATATATACATATGTGTATATATATATAGAGTGTTTGCAGCATTTTTGTCTTGGAAACAATCATTACAAAATAGTAGTAAAAATCTACGAACTACTACAAAAAAAAAAATTATTTATATATGTATACGTATATGTATGTATGTGTATATACATATATATCTATTACAATATTTGATAATATAATCTTAAATTGTAAGTCTTTAGACTAATTAATATTATTGTTGTAGTAGTTGTAGATTGATGTTGTTGTTGTTGTTGTTGTTCTATGTAAAAATTATACACTTGAAGAAATTTTTAATGAACTTTTTACATATACATATATATAGAGATATGCACGTATGTGTTCTTCCCCTATATATATTTATAAATTGGCATGAATTTCAATCAAAATAAATAGGCATATGCTAAGATAAAAAAAAAAATCTAATGTAAACTAACATATTTTTATATGATATATATAGTATATATATAAAATGTTTGCTCTTTTTACTTTGACTTTGATTTTTTTACTTCTGTTTATGAGATGCTTCACATTCGTACTTTGGGCCGAAAACAAATTTGGGGAAAAAAAAAAATTGTTTAAAAATTAAAATTATTTTTAAATATAAAAAAAATTAGTGGAGTGATTTTTGTCAGTTTCTTTTTGTTTTTTGTTTTTTTTTTTTTTTTGCATATATATTTTATTTGAAAATTTCTTTATTTTCCTATGCATTTTTTGTTGTTGTTTTTGTTTTTTGTTTTTTTGCTTTTTGTAAATATGTGAGAAAGTGAAAAAAACATCACAGCTAAAACTTCAGTACATTTTTCTTGTGGTTACTTCGAAAATAATATATAATAACTATTAATATTATTATTATTATTATAAAAAATATCGAAATTGGAGAAAAGTTTGCGGAAAGAAAGAATGAATTAAAAAAAAAAAAAAAAAAAAAAAAAAAACAAACAACAAAATGGGTGTGTGTGTGTATGTGTGTGTTTCTTCATAAATACATATATATACACAAATATGCTTACAATTTATTGTTGTGCGTATATATCGGTGTAAACACACACATATACATATATATATATGTATATATATATATAGCTACTCATGTGTGTGGATGTATGCATATGTATAGATAGATCTATATACACATAGATATCGATAGATATAGATAGATCTATCTCTCTATATAGATCTATATACATACATATATATATATATATATACATCGATAGATCTATATGGGCATACATATATATAGATCTATATACATATACACATATTTATACACACATATACATATATATGCGTTTATGTGTGTGCATCTATATGTATGCTATTTTATATATATATATGTACACATATATCGCCGTATAACTAAAAATAGACTTTGCTCTATATAGACGACATTTTGTCAGTTTTGTTTGTTTTGTTTTCGCTTTCCTATTCCATATTATTGTTTGCTTGTTTTTCTTCTTTTTTTTTTTTTTTTGGTCAATTTTCTTGTCGCTTTTATTATTTCCTTTTTTTTTTTAATTTTTGCATTTGTGTGCGTGCGTGTGTATGTGTGTGTATGTATGCCTTTCGTTTGGGGGTTTCATTCTCAGCTCACAATGGCGTTGCCCAGCTGCTTCGTCAGATTGGGGCGCCAGAGCCCCAGAGTTAGGTCGATTTAACGGGGGAGCAGGAGGGGAGGGGGGAAGGATGGGGGCGCGGGATGCGTGGGGGAGTGGAATTTAGATGAGGCGGGGCTAAAAAAAAAAAAACACACAAACTTGGGACAAGGGCAGGGGGATGGACAGAATTTCGCAGGGAGTAGCAGGGCTCGGTAGGGAGAGAGAGAGAGAGGGAGAGAGAAATTAATGGATGTTAATGGTCTAATGGGGGCTGTTTTTTTTTTGGATGTGATGTGAAGGCCAGAAGGATAAAGCAACCATAGACTGAGATTAAATACAAGAAGCGATCATCCGTCCAAGGATCACTCCAAAAAAAAAAAAAAAAAAAAAAAAAAAAAAAATTAACTAAAACTAGGAACGTCTTACAGACTAAAAGTACTTGGGTTGCCCCGCCCATAGATCTGATACGATACGATACAGTGAATGTGACCCGCCCCGTGGTTAGAGCTTGGACGTCTTTTTGTGTATGAGTGTGTGTGTGTGTGTGTGTGTTTGGGGGGTGGGTTGAGGCTATACAGACTAATCTAATCCTCCCAGGCAACGCCGGAGGCCAGTTCACGGCGTACACGCCACAGCATCAGCTCCATGCAGGCGCGTGAGTCCTCGAAACTGCTGTGTCCAGTGGCACCGTCCCCGCTCTGGATCTCGCGATTGAGATGCGTCTTGGTCAGGTGGCGCAGGGCCCGACGATAGGGGAATCCGCTTGTGTGTGGAAACGCAATGGATGTGTCGATCAGCGTATTGTGGACGATGCGCAGGGCGCGCAGATCATTGTCCAGCCCATGTCCGATCAGTATGGTGTCCGCATCGATCAGCTCCAGCAGATCGCGCTGCACCTCGGCCAGCGACTTGCAGCCGTTCGCCTTGAGATCCTTGGCGGTGACGCCCGAGAAGCGTGTATTATAATCAACAATATCGGCATCCGGTCGCACATAATGCTCGTACACCAGCTGCCCGTTGAGGGCCACCAGCGATACTTTGGTGACGTCCAGGCCGCGGCCCGTATAGCTCATCTCACAGTCGAGCGCATAGACGGCGGGCGGCTCACGGTTGCGGGCCGACGAGCCGCTGCGCGGTCGTGTATGGACGAAATCATGATAGGGCCCATTCACGCCCACCACCGATCCGGTCCACACATGGAGATCGTGATGCGTGCAACCGGCATCGCTCTCCTCGGTGCCATTGCAGCAGGTCCAGCGGCTCACCCAGACATTGCCGTCGTAGCAGCGATGGTACTTGCCCCAATGGTATGTGCACTCCTCGCGCGTCAAATACTGTCCGCTCAGATCGTCCACCAGAAACTCGCGCTTGCAGCGCACACACTGCTTGGCCAGGGTGCGCTCCACCATCGGGTAGTTGCAATAGAGCTCCAGCCCGTAGCTGCTCTCGGCACTGGGTGCCGATTCGCATTCGCTGCCGCTCCATTCGCCGCCCGATTCCGAGTCGAGGGAACGTGGCGATATGTTGCCCGAGTCTGTGGATGTTGTTGCTGTTGGGCTGTGGTTGTTATTGTTGCTATTGTTGCTATTGTTGCTATCGTTGTTAGTGTCACTATTGCTGATGTGGTTGCTGCTGCTGCCGCTGGTGGTGCTGCTGTTGCTGCTGCTGCTGATGCGGCCAGTGCCGCCGCCAATGAGCTCGTCGGGATGGCCAACCTCCTGGCCGCCAACCACATATTCGAATTGGCTCGTATTCAGGCCATCATGGCAATTGATCACCGTCAATGCCGACTCGGCCACGGCCATCACATGGGCGGCCGCGAAGCTCATGTGCGGCAGACACTTGAAGATCTCGATGGCCCCGTCGTGCACCACACTGGCCACCGGGAAGCCGTACACGCGCAACAGATTCTGATCGATCAGATAGCGGCGCAGCTGGCGCATCAGCGCCTCATCATCAATGTCCAAACGCTCGTATTGACGCAGCGGCGGCACCAGGAAATTCAAATTCTGACGCTGTTGAGCCTTGTGCAGCTGGCGCTCTTCGCGCTGCCAGCTCGTTATCGATTTTACTCCATGCTTGTTGTAGCTGTTGTTGTTGTTATGGTTGTAGTGGTTGCCGTTGTTGTTGTTATTGTTGTTGTTGTTGTTATTGTTGCGTATGCTGCCGCAGCTGCTGCCAATGGGTGAGCCACCAGGTGAGCTCACAGCTGATGAGGAATTGGAGCTGTTGAATTTCATGTTGTTGTTGCCGTGCCCGTTGTTGTTGTTGTTATTATTGTTGTGGTGGTTGTTGTGCAGCTTGTTGTTGTTGTTTTGGTTATTGTTGCACTTGTTTTGCTTTGCCTTGCCACGCTTTGAATTGCAATTGTTGCCGTTATTGTTGTTGTTGTTGTTGTTATTGTTGCAGCTATTATTATTATTATTGTTGTTGTTGTTGTTGTTGCGCCACTTGCCCTTGCACTTGCCGTTGGCTTTGTTCGGCTGCTGCTGTTGCAGTTGCTGTTGCTGCTCCTGCGGCACTTGCACCTGTATCTGCACCTGCACCTGTCCAGGCGTCTGCTTCAACGCCTGCCCCTTCTGCTGGCGCTTCGAGCGCGACTTGTTGTTGCTGTTGCCGCTACTCTGATGATTGCCAGAATTGTTGCCAGCTCGGCACTTGGGCTTGTTCAGGTGCTCGTCGCTGGAATTGATGTCCTCGCTGGTTGCCTCGCTGCTGGTGCTGTTCCGATGTCCAGGATTGTGCTGGCCCAGGAATTTCTCTGCAAAGAGCCAATACGAGAAAAGACGTTTTAGTATTTCTTAAGTTTCTTTCACTACCTTTCATTTGTTTCTGTTCGTATCGCGTTTATCAATATTATATTGGCAACTGTTCTAGATTTTAAAATTCAGATTTTAAATTTCATGAAATTCATTTCTCTCTGACCGATCTGATTCCAAACTGAAAATGTTTACCCTGGTGATGTAAAAACCAACAGAACTTTCCCAGCTGACTTTGTTTTCATAGCTTACTCATTTGAACTAGTTAGATTTGTTATATTTCTATAGATAGAGTATATGGGATTGTATGAGATCAGTGTAGGCAAGTGTAGTTCATTCAATAATGAATTATTTTTCGCTCTAAAATGATGCAGTTGTACTTTTAAACTAGTTCTTATAAACTAGTTCGCGTGAATTAGTTTCAGCGAACAAGGCCCAATGAACTAGTTCAAATGAACTAGTTCTCGTGAACTGGTTCCAGTGAACTTGTTAGTGCGCCGCTATTATAAAATATTTAACTTTGCTATTTCATATAACTTTGCTATAATCAAATGCAGCTCATTTTGGAACTAGTTCTAGTTCTTTGTCTACTCATATATTTTTCTGAATTTACATTTACATTTTTTATATATTACATCGAGCAAAATTGTGTTCACTTCTGAACGAGCTTTAGCTCTTTGCTCGTTCGTTCACAGAATCGATAGTTCCAGCTCTTTGCTCGTTCGTTCACTGAACCCCTCCTATATTTCAATAGCTCATACATTATCAATTTATGTTGAAAACGCTAATGATCCACTGAATAAATTTGCCATTGATAGTCATGCTCATGAGACGCTTGTTATGAACTAGTTCATCTGAGCTAACTCAGCTAACATAACATACTTCTGAAGCGTGTTAGCTAGCTGGCGTGGTATTCCATAAATTAAAACTCATCCAAACTAAACAGATTTCCATTTAATGCGCTCTGTTACGCTCGTGAACTAGTTCGCTTATGCGTTACCAGCTAGTTAATCTTTACGTCGTTCGACTACGCTTCAGCCGCCGCCCCCGCCGCCGCCCACGCCTCAGGGATCCCATAGACAATCTGTGCACAAATTCCGTATGTGAGTACCCACATCTATATATAATTATTTCGTCTTTTTTTCAGCTATAGTAAATTTGCTTGACGTCAATTTACGTTTGCTAATTGCTGAGTTGATAACAAATTCGTATGTGTGTATGTGTGTGTGTGTGTGTGTGTGTCGTAAGCATGCGTATGATTATATGTGTGTGTGTGTGCGTTTGTTTGTGAATCGCTCTTATCAGCCGGTCGGCATCATTGCGCGCGCCACGTGCTTCTCATTTTGTGACTTTGCTCGGCATTCATAATACAAATTTATTGCCAAAAAAAAAAAAAAGCAGGAGGAATATGCTCAGCCAGGAATACCCTGTAATACGACAAGCCTAGGCAGAATTGTATTAAGTGTAGATAGAAAAGTGCTTCACGGCGTATCTATGCGTCGCTCATAGTCGACTTTATTTGACCTCAAGTTCTAAGCAATGAGAGAGTTGGAGAGAGGGAGAGGGCGAGAGGGAGGGAGAGGGCGAGGGAGAGACAGCTAGTGAGAGAGGGAGTGACATATGTTGGCTCTTGTCTCATAGAGGAAACAAACAACAGAGGCGCGTGGCTGCCTGTCTTACCCACAAGACGATGATGATGATGATGATGCTGATGCTGATGATGATGCTGATGCTGATGATGGTGAGCTATTACTCATGAGCAACATAATTATAATGAGCCGAAAAATGACTTCCGCATTTTCTGGGCAGTTCATTCAAGCCGCAAAAGGGGCGTTGTAACAGCTCGCTGTTGCCAAGCAACGAAAAGGGGGCGGGGCTTGGGGGGATAGCTCAGCTCGGGCAACGTGTTGATCGTTAGCAACACGTGGCTAAGCGTCAATCGGAGCTAAACGTGTATTTAGCTAGAGGCCAGCTGTAGCTTATCTAAGTGACGACCGGCGACAAGTTCTAGTGCTTAACTGCAACAACAACAACAGCAACAACAATCACAAATTGTTATCTATTTATGCATTGCATTTGCTGCTTCCTATTTGCACAGCCAATTTGTTAAGTTTTTGTTTGCATTTGAGCTTCCCACGACAATTTGATGCCTGATAAATTGCGTGCGATGGAAGGGAAGTGCAGCGCAGCAAGTCATCAGTTATATATGTATATATATCATTATATCAATATGTATTATAGTCACACACACAAACACACACACACGCACCTCACATCATATCATATCATAGCACAGTTTGTTGACTCTGCATACGACCGAAGGACATATCGGATATCTAATATGTACTCTACATGTGGAGCTCTATTTAGCATCATAGTTGGCTCGCTGGCTGGACGCGTGACTTGTGTGGGCAATTGGCCAATAAGGCAAGCCAGGCCAAGCCGAGTCAAGCAAAGCCAAGCAGAGCCGAGTCAATCGCTGGCTTTGCATGTCAAGCAAATTTCTCCGCATCAAGTCATAAATCACGCATACGCAGCGTTGCCAGGCGGCGGCCCAGCAGCAGCAGCAGCAGCAGCTGAGCAGCTGCCAATTATTGTTTACATATGTGCAACACGTACTTTAACACGCATTGAGAACTGTTTGGCCCAGCGATTAGATAAACGAACTTCCCGAACACACGCACACACACACACACACAGGGACACACTCTGTGCGCTTTATCGCACACACACACAAACACACGCGCCAAAATCTTCAACAACCTTGAAAATCATATAAATATTCATGTGCGCGCATAACAAGTGTAGATATGCGATTAAAACGTAAACATAACATAATTATGCGAGGTGCGTTTCAAACGTATTCGCCGATGAGCGACAGAGAAAGAGAGAGAGAGAGAGAGAGAAGAGTAAAATAGCTAAATATATAGCTGTCTCTGCGCACATGAGGACAAACACAAGTGCTCCAGTGGGGAGTGCTCGACTGCAAGTTACCCGAAGAATAATGCTCAGATACTTATGCAATCAGGCATGGTAGGTGATAAGAGTTATCTAGAGGGCAGAGTGGGACATGAGGAATATAGTCTAAGGCAGCAGACTATCGGATGTGATAGGCATGAGAAAAGAAGAACTCTACAGGGAGACACAAGTTTGAATACTTAGATACAGATACAGATATAGATATAGATATAGATATAGATATGGATATAGATATAGATATAGATATAGATATAGATATAGATATAGATATAGATATAGATATAGATATAGATATAGATATAGATATAGATATAGATATAGATATAGATATAGATATAGATATAGATATAGATATAGATATAGATATAGATATAGATATAGATATAGATATAGATATAGATATAGATATAGATATAGATATAGATATAGATATAGATATAGATATAGATATAGATATAGATATAGATATAGATATAGATATAGATATAGATATAGATATAGATATAGATATAGATATAGATATAGATATAGATATAGATATAGATAGATAGATAGGGATATAGATATAGATAGGGAGAAAAAAAGAACAACAAATGTTATACAACAAACCAAAAAAAAGTGGGAAATTGTAATCGGAGATATGGATAGAATGCTATAGATCACTGGCCAAGTGCGATGCGAATCTTAAGTGGAGATTAATGAATGTGATACGTTGAATGTCATTGGTTGAAGGCCCGCCAGACGTTTGACAAGCTATTAAGCTAGCGAAGATTTGCCTTGTTCTCAAAGATCTGATTAATGTCATTCTAGATGAAGCGACGCTGCGACACGGCCCCAAAGTCATTTAAACGAGCTTACAATTGACTCATGTTTTGCTTTAATATTATTATTATTGTTTTACTTTACTTTTATACTTTTTATTTTTGTATTTTGTATAGCTTGGCGCTTGTTACAAAACCAACAGTAACAACAACAACAACAATCCGAATATTAATAATAATAATGAACTATTAAAAAGTCCCTGATAAGATTGCACAGCGTATAAATTTGCGGCTACTGTGGCGAGCTTTACGATCAGTTCCCTGATAATCTATATGCATCAACATAGTATGTATATTATATAGAGTAAATGTGGTATATATGCGGTATATGTGGTTTATGTAATATATGTAGTATATGTGGAATATGCAGTATACATAAAATATGTAGTAAATGTAGTATATGTGATATATATAGTATATGTAGTAAATGTGGTATATGTAGTATATGCAGTATATGAAGTGTATATAGTATATGCAGTATATGTGGTATATGTGGTATATGTAGTATGCAGTATATGTGGTATATATAGTATATATAGTATATGTGGCATATATGGTATATGCAGTATATGTAGTATACGCAGTATACGTAGTATATGTAGTATACGCAGTATACGTAGTATATGTAGTATATGTAGTATACGTAGTATACGTAGTATACGTAGTATATGTAGTATACGTAGTATATGTAGTATAGTGTAGTATATATAGTAGTATTAGTAGTATAGTAATATCTATAATATACATAAGTTGTATATAGGGTATACATACATAAGCTCGATTGTACAATATAAGAATAATTGACAAATTGATGTATCTATCACAAGAGCTCAATTTGTACATTATTTGCTTTATCTTCTTTTTAATTTTTAGTTAGATTATTATCAATGGTGTTTAGTAGACGTATCTGCACCGTACTCTCAGGCATGTAAGGCTTTAATTTAGTGGGCAAGTGGCCACATTTAGTTTCGAGCTAGTTGCCAGGGCGATAAGATGTTGCCAATGGCATTTGGTTTCGACTGTCTAGCTGCGGTTGTCAAGTGGACTTCACGTTACCAGGCACCTAATCAGCGGCGGCTATCCCCAAAAATAATAATAATAATACAAAAAAAAAAAAAAAAAAAACCTTTTTTAATATATACTATATGAATATCCTATATACATATATACTAACTATGCTTAAAGCAGCTAAAATTCAGCTC